AGTGGTACCATCCGCAAGCTGAACATACCCTTCGGGGTCTTGGGAAATTGGCCATTCATAGCCAAACGGAGATGGGCCATCGCTAAAGCAGCACTATTAGGTATGTGCAATGTGGCGACGTATTCGAACCCATTCTGCAAAAAGATGCGCCCTCCAAGGCCATCAATAACGTGTTGAAAACACGCCAAGGATTGCAGCCTGCTAGGAAGCGGTCGAGGCCATGCCTGTGCAGCAGCCCAACCTGGATCATAATGCGCAGCGATTGATTTTGCCCTGATGTACATCGCAGCAAACCCTTGCGCTATGCATGCACGAGTAAACGTGGCTGCAAAGGCAACATCATCTGGCGAGGCTCCTTGGCTCCTGACAACTGCCAGTATCTCAGGTTCCAACACTTGCAGCATTCTTGTAATTCTTGCAGCTTGTAGCGTGTGGAAGAAGTGGAAGTGATTCACGGGGAAGTAATCCGCAGCGACATCACATATCACATTCTGAGAAATCCAGTCAGCAGGTTCTCTGCAGGACCATGGCATCTTCACATAGGGAGGCCAGAAAGGTTTCACTGCTTTACTTGAGCCAAAATGGCTACGGGTTTGGGAGTTAGGGCGTGATGTTTTGGGGCTTGCGGATTTAGGGGTTTTGGGTTTAGGGATTGAGGGTTTATGGGTTTAAGCGGTTTGTAATTCAGGGTCCCAAGGTTTTGGAGGTGTTCAAGTTTAGGGGCTTGGCTGTAGGTTTAGGGCTTAAGGGTTTAGAGGTTTATGATTTAAGGGATTTAGGGCTTAGGTTTCAAAGATGTTCAGAGTGGGATTTTTGGTGTGGGGGTTGAGGGTTCAGGACTCTACACAGGGTTGAGGGTTTAGGGGTTAGGTGTTTGAGGGGGGTTAGGGTGTAGGATTCGCGCAGCTTTGGGCGTTCGTCTCCCTTCTGCGCTTACATCAACGGTTCTTGCTTTCTGTGCGATGTTGTTGTTGCTGTTCTTTCTTTCAGCTTCCATCCGAATAAACATAGCGTTCATCACTTACATGGTCCACGAACCAGCAACAAGAATACAAGCAGCCTTTCGTGATACAACCCGCCAGTCATCTTCCCATTTACGTGGCAAGCTTTCTTTCTCTGTCCATGCTCGCTGTTTCGCTCTTGCTTTTTCCCCCTCACCATGAACAGTGAAGACAACAAATGATGATATAAAACTCCAAGATTAGAGATCATGGTACCCTGCCCACAGACATGACAACAGAGAGCTAGCCCATGCTAGCGCTTTTAAGCTGCAAGTCCAGTAGCTCCTGCGCAAAGTAGCCCTTGTCATGCAGCATCATGTTCCAGTCGTTGCTGTTGCCTGCATCACAACCATCACTAGTTTCACAAGCACTCGAGGCTCTTTGCAACTCAATCGCTATTGATCCATGCGGCTCCAGCACAGTCGGCACAGGGAATGCCGGCCATCTCGCCCAGCACGGCCGATCTGGTTTACATACCTGGGCTTAGGAAAAGGTCTTATCTTTTCATTTCGTCTGCGGCAGATGCAAGCAGCCCCACTGCCGACCCGCTGCGTCTCCATATTCAACGGCGGTTGCCAGTGGACGATAACATCAATGTCTGGCTTATCGATACCTTGACCATAGGCATCAGTGGCCACCATGATGCTGATGCGATTCTCCCGGAACTCCTTGTTTGTAGGAATTGGGTGTTTGGCCTCATTCGTTTTCCCTCTTGTAGCTGTGCTATACGCATCCCTTGCCACGACCATCTGCAAACCTCAAAGGTGAAGGAGCTTTAGAAGGATTTCACCCACAAATTTTTGAAGCCTCCTACTCACAACCATGTTCGAGGCAACAAGGACAATGTCTGCCTCAAAAACTTGAACTGGTCAAGGAGAGGGCTCCGTAGGAGTGCAGTTTTGGGAGAAGGGTGCTCTGAACGAGGCCAACTTTAGTAGAGCGGGCATCAAACAGATGGGTGGTTGTCAAAATAATGGTCCTTTTTTGGGTACCCCAAATATTAGGGTGCCGTATTATACTAAGGACCCAAAAGGGACCATAAATTTGGACAACCACCCAGATAGCATTGCCAGACTTCCCCTCTTCAGCAAAGGAACTTCGTTCAGCTCAGCCCTCTCCTGAGTTGCTGTTAAGGAACCTTAAATTAAGTTACCCTAATGGGTATATATAGTAAATAATAGGGTTTCCCCAATATGGTGACTTAATTTAAGTTCCTTAAACCCCTATATTCCCCCAGTTTCCATTTCATTTTCCATTTTCTTTTCCATTTGATTCTCCATTATAGCAACTTAATTTAAGTTCCTTAAACCCCTATATTCCCCCAGTTTCCATTTCATTTTCCATTTTCTTTTCCATTTGATTCTCCATTATTGGGTATTACATACCCTAATGGGACCCATATATAACCCCCTATACAACCCATCTATTATAGTAGTTTCCATTTTCTTTTCCATTATCCCAAAGTAACTTAATTTAAGTTCCTTAACAGCAACGCAGTCTCGTCAGGAGGCGTGTCCCCATCCAGGTGCCTCACCACCAAGTCAAGGTCACCTTGCCAGCTTCAACTGGGGGTTAGGGTTTAGGGCGTAGGGTTTAGGGTTTAGGGTTGTGGGGTAGTGACAATGCGAAACTCCAATTTATCAATATAGTCTAAACTCCTCAAAGGGGGTTATATAGGGGCTTATATAGGGGAGTATTATAGGGTTTATCAAAGGGGCTACTAGGAGTTTAGATTATAATGGCTTTTTGTCTTTTGGTGCTCAACCAGGGCCCAAGTTGACACCGAGCTGCGCTTTTCACATTCTTCCTCCAGGCGGCGCTGTATCCTGCCGACAAGGCAGTGGCAGCATTGTTGCAAGTCCACAACTTACTACTTGCAGTAAGGAGATGTGGCGGATCACGACCCAGTTCCTGGCGTACATTTTTACAACCATTACACTTATTACTGTTATTGTTATTGTTACTCTTACTACTGGTACTATTAGTATTACCGTTACTATTAGTATTTTATTGGTGTGTTTACAGAAGAAGAAGAAGGCAGGCCTCGATGCAGTTGGCTTTGTGAGCACATACACAACAGCCTGAAGTGGACACCCAAACAAGAATCAGCCCAATGGGGCGTTCCCAAAATTAGGGATACTGTTTACAGGGATTATAGGGGTTATATAGGGTTTATATAGAGGGATACCTTTGTGGAGGTCCAGATAATAAGGACTGTAATATGCTTAGGTCTATATTGGGGTCCCCTTATTTGGGGAGACTACCAGATGTAGCCAGAAGCAGCCACTGTAAATGCTGCCTGGATTCAGCCTTGTAACCATCCGTGGTCAGCAAGTTGAGGACCATTTCGAGCTTTTCCTTCTCCTAAAGTGGGCTGCACATGCATCCCTCACAACGAACGGATCCTTTTTTGCGGTCCCTATACATTTCCTTGCAATCCTATAACCTCCCCTCCCTTCTGAGCACCAGTAAGATTGTCCGAATAAAATTGGTTAGGGTTTACGGATTTAGGGTTTAGGGCTTTAGGGTTTAGGGCTTTAGGGTTTAGGGTTTAGGTTTAGGTTTAGGGTTCAGGGGCAGCCCAGCAACCTCCAAGACATGGCTTGTTGCTTGCCTCCCGTTGCAGTGCAGCCAAGGGTCTGTAAGACCCTGGCAACTCTCAAGCACCAAATTCTTCCGGAACATGGGCCTTAGGGTTTAGGGTTTAGGGTTTAGGGGTTTAGGGTTTAGGATTTAGGGGTTTAGGGTTTAAGGTTTAGGGGCTTAAAGTATTGCCTTCAGCCACAACGAGTAAGAACTCTGCAATGCAAGGATGCATGCCAAGCAACCTCGTGCTGCCTCATGTCAGGGCGCATTTCACTCTGTGGTCTGTGCCAAAAATCCTATTCAGCCTCCTCTTACACCTAATCCCGATAAACCTCTCTGGAAAATTCCAGTGTCCAGTTCATTTTCCATATTTTTCTCCACTTGATTCTCCATTATTACGCCCAATATCCCCAAACCCATGTCAGCAGCGAACAAGTTGAGGAGTGCCTTTCGGCATTCATCAATCTAAAGCCGCTAGAAAATAGAAACTACGATATCTCATCATATTGGGGTATTTGTTGGGATTATATTGCTACTATGTATTATGATATTGGGGTATTTATTGCGACTACGTTACTACTATACGTTAGGGCTCGGGGGTATACCTCCCCCTACTTTTCGTAGCTTCTGCACCGAGAATTCCATATAGGGGTCATTATATCTCATTAGGGCTTCTACGTTCCACTAGAATGCTGTATATAATTATGGCAATCCTCCTTTTATAGTAGAAAATTCGTGATGGAATCCGATTCGCTACAATGTTGGTGAAGGGTATCTATTATGTGGTATGCTCCTTCTCCATTGTCTTAGTATGCAGAGAGTCTGAAATTTAGTCATTTGTGCGCAAGAAATGAAATCATTTACTCTACCAATAATCATTGTAACATTGCGACGGTTTGCGAAAGATACTTTATGTGGCTCACTGTTACGCAAGACGTCTCAAATCCTTGGCCCTGCATTTTCCCAATTAAAAGACCATTACTAAATCAGTGATTGTGGGCTCCATATTCCGTCACAAAATTCCTGCACGGAATATGCCTCAGATTCAAGAGAATTCTTGTTTTCGCCCTTACAAACCCTGATTATATGGACTTGAATAAGCTTGCTAAAAATTTTGTTGTTCCAAAATTAAGACAAGAACTCTCAAATCCGAAGTTCGTCTTCTTAACCAGTGCAATCCCTTACTACATGTGTTGCAACTTCTAGGCAGAAATTCTGCAGTCCTTGGCTCCTGTTCGCCTTATTTTCTACGTGTATATCTCATAGTACAGATATTCCAAATTTAAGAAGGAATCCTCAAGTCTCGGGTCTCTTCTTTTCTCTGCATACTTCCTGAGTAAATGTGTCTCAAATTTCGACAAGATTTCAGAAATTGTTCAGAATATTACATCTATTGGAGACCATGAGAATATTCCTGACAAGGGGCTTACAAAAAAAAACAAGACGTGAGATCTGTGTCTAAATTTCCAGCATATTTAGCACGGAAGTCATACATAGAAAGATGAGGAGAACATGAGCCCAGGAGCGCAATTACTATTTTGGGCCCGAAGCAACCAGTAACTCATTACGTAAGCTACCGGTAGAATTAAACTTTAAGACTTGAGAACTCCTCTTTAAATTTGAAATAGATTTAGAGTGGGGTTTATTCATAGAGAAAGGCGAATAAAGCCAGGATTTAAAAGTTTCTGCTTAGAATGCATCACATGCACTAAGCCATTTACATGGTGAATCACAAGAACCTTGGTTTTGAGAATTCCATTTTAAATTTGATGCACAATATCCAGGCGTTTATTTAGAATCCATGCACTACGGGCCTCTGTGAAGAGACAATAAGAAGCTCAGGACGTGTCAGTTCCTTTCAATATGAAGCATATTCAGTAAAGGATTTTTGTAAGAAAGCGGAGGAGTCCACAATCAAAGAATTCTCCTTTAATTCGGAACCAGTTTGGTAAGGGTTCTGTACATGGAAACTGCAGGGCAAAGGATTTGAGACTCCCTCTCTAGCAAGAAATGAGCCCAAAACAAACAACCTTTCCCTAACTCGGCCACGGGTAGAACCAAACCTATGTTCCTGCGAACTGAATAAATTCTCTGTTTTCTGTCATGAAATTCAAGATCGATACAATTGACCTGAGAGAAGTGGAAGCTCCAGCAGTTGCTTTTTTTGGATTCCACAGAAACTTGATATAATCAACTGGAGCTTGAAGTCCCTCCTCCTGGAAAGGGGTCCATGCTCTTACTTCAGACACACATTTTTTGCATTTCGAGAAAATGGTGCGCTACGTAGCGCACCTGGGACAGGGGAAACAAAAATTCCAGGCAACTAGCATAAGTTTGACCTGCGAGCCACTGTGAGGTGCTCGAAGCTGCAGCTGCTTTCGTATGAAGGCCCTCGGACCAACAGACCAAACGGGTTAAGTAGGGATAAAAAGGATTATACAGGGATTATACAGGGATAATGAAGATGAAAATGGAAACTACTATTTAGGGTGTAGGGTTCAGGGTTTAGGGTAATGTAAGGGGCCTTTCAGCTGAGTTGCTGTTAAGGAGCTTAACATGAAGTTACCGTAATAAGGAAACCCTCTTATTTACGAATTACTCACATTGCTCAGGAGGAACCCCCCACCCTGTAATAATAGGAATATAAGAGGACCCGAATATAATCCTCATTATCTATAAGAGTCACTATTACTGGGTGGGGGGGTCCACCTAACATATTATGGCTACTTAGTTCAAATTCCTTAACAGCAACCCAGATCAATTCAAGCAGCCTTTCAGATCTGCCAACCTCCGGCTCCAACATTTTGCACTCAGGACATCTCAACAATCTCATCTAACCGACAGATGGTAGTGTCCCCAAATAGGAGGACCTCAGAATAGACGCCAAAGTACTATAGCCCTTATGATAGGGACCCCCAAAAGCGGACCTCTAATTTTGAGAAACACCCAAATCACCAAAACCCTTTGAACCGTTTCAGAAAAAATTGGGGTCTCCCAAAATTAGGGGTACTCTTTTTGGGGGTCCCCATAATAAGGGTTATAGTATATTGGGGTCTATAATGGAAACCCTAAACCCTAAACCCTATCCCTATTTCGGGCAAGTACCAAATCGAGTCCACTTTCTGACCAGCTGCTGACGTGCCGGCGGCGCTGCACCTGACAGGGCCATGCACGGAACCGTGCGATACCTTAGCTGCTAGGGTTTAGGGTTTAGGGTTTATGGTTTAAGGTTTGGGGTCTATGTCCTTGGGGTCCCCACGCACCACTATTCTGAGAAACTCACAGATAGATGATAGCTCAACTGAAAATCATAACACCGCAGAGCAGGACCGCCCTGTGATAAGCTGTCATGCGTTTGACACAAGGCCGTCAACCCTGCATCCCAGGATACCACTCTCCACCACCACCACCACCACCACCACCACCACCACCACCACCACCACCACGACCGCGACGACTGCGACGACTGCTACTGCTGGTAGTACTAGTAGACCTGGACCTAAACCATCCTCAACCTAGACTTAAAACTAGAACTACATTACACGCCACACTTTCCTGCTGGGGTCAGGACTAAAGGAATAGACTCTAGAGGGATTACGTTCCCTTATTCCCTACTATAATCCCAATATAGACCTCAGTATAATGTAGTAGTTACCATCTTCTTTTCCATTATCCCTGTACACCCTAAACCTAAACCCTAGACACCTATACATCTACATCTACATATACATATCCCAAACCCTAAACCCTAAACCCTAAACCCCAAACCCTAACCCTAAACCCCGAGCCCTAAACCCTAAACCCTAAACCCTAAACCCCAAACCCTAAACCCTAAACCCTAAACCCTATATATATATATATATATTCCCAGTAAGCTCTGTAGTATAATCTTCCAGCTTGAAAGCCTTCCCATGCCAGGAAGCGTGTCGCGGAGCCACTCCAAGTCGAGGAATGCCGTCCGAAACTCCTTGAGGACTTGGGTTTAAGGTTTAGGGTTTAGGGTTTAGGTTGGGTACTGCCCCCACTCGGTAACATTTGGATAATACTTAGAATATGGTTCTATATAGCCCTTAATAGGACCCCTAATATAGACAGTTACTGGGTGGGGGCAGTACCCAAGGTTCAGGGATGTTTAGGGTTTAGGATTTAAAGTGTGAGGTCTAGGGTTCAGGGCTTCTTAGGGATGTTCAGGGCCTAGGGATGTTTAAGGGTTTTGGGCAGAATGGGTTTAGTCTTAGGGATGTGTAGGGTTTCGGGATTAGGGTTCAGGGTGTAGGGTCTAGGGATGTTTAGGGATTCCGGTTTAGGAAGGAGTTGGGTTTAGTGCTCAGGGTTTAAGATTTTTGTTCTTGCCATAATTTCCTGCCATACTTGGCAGCTAGGTGAAACCCTGGGCACGTGGGAAGCGGCTTCAAAAATGGCGGTCAAGTGCCCGTTCGTAAATGAAGTCATTTTGCTTGCACGCGTTGGTATACGGAGTGCAGGGACCTGCTACATACGTCTCCCAGATGTATCTATTGGTAGAAAAGAGCCAGTTTTGCCGACGTCCCCCCACCTGCCTTTTGCCAAAGTGGAAAGTCTGTGCAGAATCTGGCTGATAACTTACTTGTTGGAAGGAATCCCACGATGGGTTGGGTAAAATGCGGCCAGCCAATTTTGCACGCCTTTCCATCAGGTCTGGAAACAGTTTGATTCTTGTAGCGTGTGATCCGCAGCCGACTAACGCTTTCTTTGCTTTATGAATATCTCTCTCGCTTGTGTCTGCTCTGTTGACAAATTGGTACTTATTCCCAAGATATTCCTTAAACCTCTAAGTTGAAAGGCATTTACACGTTATTGGCATCGCTTCCGTTAAGTGTACTGACTGAAGACCGCATAGCCTTTTGTTCTTGATGACTGTGTCGCATGCTTGCAACTTCCAGTGTCTTGGACAGCTTATGGCCCTCCAAAAGGTATTCAAGCCATACCACAATTTCAGCGTTGGATGCATCTTTTGGTTTATTTCATGTCGAATATGCCATCCACAAACTTGATGACTTTGTTGCCATTCACTGCAATGGAACAACATCTATCCCTATATAGTCTCAGGCCAAAGTGTCGTCCACAAAATGGATCATATCGAAATCCACTCCGTGATACCGGACATTCCTAATTCTGGCAATGATGTTCATCCCAACATCATGGTCAATGACAGACATAACCTACACGAACAAGTAAGGAGAAAGCAGACAACCTTGACAAATACCACAACTTTTTACCTTGTCGTTCGGCCTGCCATATTCAGCAAGGGCGTCTATAACAATCCACGAGAACGTCGATAAAATGTTGGTGAACGCCTAAACGTTTCAAAGCAGACGACATCCGGTCATGTTGTATTATGTCAAATGCCTTCTCCCAATCGATGAAAGTAACGACTAAATCAGTGCCCCTTCGTTCAGCTGTATCCTGCGCTCGATGCGCGAGGAAAATTGCATGTGAAGTGCTGCAACAAGGTCGAAGCATGTTGAGAGCCGAAACTGTGGGGTCCAACACAACCTGCAACGAGTCCCTAAATAAACCCACACAAAGCTTGTAACTGGAATTCAGAAGGGAAATGGTTCTGTAGTTCGACGGCTGATCAATATCGCCTTTTTTGCTTATAGGAACAGAACGTGCTAAACAGGCATCACATGGGATTGCTTTCGAGGACCACCATTGGCTTCTCATGTTCAAAACAAGCGCGCAGTAGCTTCCATCCATGCAATTAAACAACTCCATAACTAATCCATGAAGTCCACGTTGCTCGTTGCTTTTCATACTTTTTAAAGCTTAGCCAAATTCATTCGTTTGGAATGGATTCAGGTCGAAGCAAGCCTGCAAATTATGATGTTTTTCTTGTCTGCGTATCTGCAATGTGTTATTGTTATGCCAATTCTTTCTTTTCCGAAGGTCTCTGCTCTATCTTTAGGTCCTGAACCCCAAATCCTAGTTTATCAATGCATTCCAAGCCGCATGGCCCCACAGAGGCATGTAGCATGCCTCATCTACCACGAAAGCACAGAGCCGTGAGCCTCAGACAACAGGAGCATACTTTTCCCCACCGATAGAAAACTAGCAAATTAAGGGAGACCCCTGATTGGTAGTTTCCCTAAGTAGGGGACCCAATATAGACCCCCCAAAACTATAATCCTTATTATGGGGACCCCCAAAAAGGTACCCCCCCAATTTTGAGAATCCCCTAATCATATTTAGCTTAAATAAGATGTCCTTTAGGCTTCTGAATCATTAGTGATTGAGCATGCAAGTTAAGTCTTCCAGTCCAATCAGGACAAGCAGCAATCGTACAAGTCGACGAAGGCTTCCAGGTACTTCTGCGTCGCCGACTCCGGGCACATGTACACAAGGCCTGATGAAGAGCAGCTGCAACGCCACCGTAGGGTTTAGGGTTTAGGGTTTAGGGTGTGCAAAATGCCGGCTTTGTAAGCAACATGAAAACCTCACGCACAGTCGTCCTGGAACAGAGTTAGGACAAGGTCTCAGCGATGCTGCCACCACCACCTAAGGGTACCTTTTGGGAGCCCACTGGAGATGCCGTAATACATGACCTTTTACAAGGCTTGGGAAATGATTTTGGAAACTCACCATACCCATGGCACAGCCTAAGTTGCATCTCAGCAACAATACTCGCCGGCTACAGCTGCACTGATGATGGCTTCGTCCTTCTGCGCAGATCCCAGAAGGCAAGCCTGCAAGTGGGCAGGCTTCCATGGAGGCGATGGGCGAATCAGTCAGTGCATCCAATCCATCCAGGGCTTAGGCATTATCCCGATATAATCCCAAGGATAGAGTAATTTCCATGTGATTTTCCATTATCGCAAGGGTTTAGGGTCCAAAGCAACGGCCACTTCAGTTGAGCCTAGCCAGCGCATGGGAGTTCGCGGAAGTTATGTTGGGCACCCCAGAATGGGAAACGGATTTAGGGAGGCGGGATATTGCAGGAGCCCACAGAAAGCAACCCAGACTATGCCTATCTATATAACACCTATCTTACCCTCTGTGATAGCTACACAGCCAGTCGGAACTGAATGCCACCGTCCACAATCCAGGCAGAAACAATCTCGGGAAATCCCTGACATGCCTTGGGATCTTCGGCAAGCTTAGCGCTCCTCGCTTTGGCGTTGAACTGCTGGGTCTGATCCTGGCAAGCAGGCATTGCCGTGCAATGTTGGCATATAAGGATTTTCTCCAACCCTCTCTATCGCCCGCACCCGGCAGGTCAGGGCACTACAAAATCAAAAGCTCAAAAGCCCTTCCCAAAACAGCATATAAGGATTGTATAGGGAATATTCAAGGCCTATTTGAGGATCATATTGGGACTCTATGCACGACGTTTAAGAGGGATTGTGTAGGGAGTCAAGGACCATAGACCATAGAGGCTTTAAACCGTGGAGGCCATTGCAAAAGGGCCCTGCGACTAGCAGAAAAAAGTGCCGCGACTAATGAAGGGCCTAGTGCATATATGCATATAACATACCCAAGGCCATATTCTATCTACCTGAGGGGGACTGTATGCTGCTGCAGGAGAACCGAACCGTTGCTTGCGCGGAAAGAAGATTGCTGAATCCGCTGTGCGCTGCAGATTTCTGGTTCTTGTTCTCAGCAACTCTTCATCAAGACTGGATTCGGACTAAGTTCCCCAACCTATATGCCAAATATATAACCCATTATAGTAGTTTCCATGTTCTTTTCCATTATCCCATTTCAACCCCAATATTACCCTAATGTTACCCCGGTAACCCCAATATAACCCCAAAAGGGCCCGATTCTTCTTACCTTCTTCATTTGACTGCAAGCATTTCAATCACCCTTTGTCGCAGTGGCCTGCATGACAGGGATTGTTGGCTCCACAACGACGATGATTCCCCGCTTCCTGCCGCCGTTCTCCAAACGCTCACTGACATGGGGATCTTGCGGTAAATGTGCCTGTGGTGTTGTCCGGTGAATATCTGTCGCGATGCTATGGGGTTGTCAACATGCGGCTCATTACGGGTGCTACTACAGAGGCCTAGACAGTTACCAATATCATTTTGAGGTCCATTTGAGGTGCCATAGACCATAGTTATGTAAGGAATATGGAGCCATAATGTTGGTAATCATTTAATATAACCCCGATATAACCCTAATATAACCCCAATATACTATAGTAGTTTCCATGTTCTTTTCCATTATCTCTTATATCTAGTATTGGTAATTAGTTAGTAGACGCATTCATCTCTTTGGGCTTTGGAGCTGAACCAGCTCCACATTGTTGAGTAGCGTTTTTTTTGTAGTTAAACCAAATAAGATTATATTCCTCATATAAAATGCTATACCCCAAAAGGAGGATATAATCTTACTCTATATTGGGTACCATAGTATCCCCAAATAAAATACTACTCAGTTAAGCTTTGATGAACTATCATCCCTACATTACCCTTCTATGACCCCTATATTACCCCTACCCTAAACCCTAAACCCTAAACCCTATACATCATCCCTATGTTAGGTCCTACGCCAAGCCAGGACTGCGAGGAGCTGGAAAACCAGGGACTTGCCAGCTGCCGTCGGCCAATAGAGCTCTATGTCCTGTTTAGGGTTTAGGGTTTAGGGTTTAGGGATTTGGAACGCCAGTAGAAATTATAATTTGAGCTAGATATTAGGATTCTAGGTAACAGAAATTAAAAAATCATGTTCGGTAACTTTGTAGCTGTCACATGCATCATGCTCGCACCTCCACTCTCGTTATAAGGAATTACAACCCCTATATAACCCCCATATAATCCCTATATGATCCCTATATATATATATATATCCCCTGTATTATAATCCCTATGTCATGCGCATAGAATAGATATTCCCTTATTCCCTGCTACCCCCCCAGCTACTGCCGCGTGC